AGCGGAGGCCCGCCACGGCTGCCATCTCTCGCGGCCGAGGGGAGCGGAGGGTCCGCGGCGGCCTGGCCGGGGGACACTGGGGGGCGGCCGGGCCGCAGCCTCGAGAGAGAGGGGGTCCCGCGCACTCACGCTCCGCTCCTGCCGTCCAACAGCCGCCCTCTCGCTCGCTCGCTCGCTCCGGACTGACAGGGAGCCGGAAGTGACGGCGACTTAGAAGCTCTGGCCCCGCCCAATGGCACCAAGGACACGTGACGGGGGCGTGGCCTTTCCGCCCAACCGCCGAGCCGGCCCTTTCCAGGGCCTTAAAGGGACCGCCGCGGAGCCCGAAATGGATGCTCCTTAAAAAAAAAAAAATGGGAGATGGCGCCGCGGTGGTGAGATGCCGTAGAGACTGGTCCTGACCCGAAAGAGAGTGAGGTACAAACAGAACATGAATGACGGGGCCTGGCGCTTGCTAAGTAAATGCTGTCCTGAAATGAAGGAGCTATCCTGACAAAGCAACGTGCTGACCCATTTGCCCACAAATCTTCCGGTTCCACCTTTAATGTGTGACTCGGGCTGCCAAAATCAGAGGAAACCAGCCAGAGGCGCAGTATTTAATTCCAGAAGGTCCAGGAAATCTTGCAGCTCTCCTAAGCCGCGCAACTCTTATTCCTAAAATGAAGTTCTGGGGGTGCAAAGTAGGGCTTCGAATATCAAATGCCCTCTGCGGGCTCATGTGCTGGGGACCTGGGCTGTCAGCTGATGGCCTTTTCAGGAGAGATTGGATCCTGAGGGCTCTGATCAGTGAATTAATGCCCTCATATAGTCATAATATGATGATGGCATTATGACGAGGTGGCCGAGAGTAAAGCAGAGCCTCGCTGGAGAAGGTCGGGGTGTGTCCTTGGAGACTATATCTGACCCTGGCCCCGTCCTGCATCCCTTTCTCTCCGCGTCCTGCATCCCTTTCTCTCCGCGTCCTGCATCCCTTTCTCTCCGCAGCTTTCTCCTCCACAGGTTACCATGGACTTAATGTTCCGACGCACCGCCCGCCTAGAATAACAGGAGCTAAGAACTATAGACAGACACTGGGAGCCATACTGAATCTTCACCCCTTTAAAGTTGTCTACACACGAATGCAGCGTCCAACAGAAGAAATCTAGTCCACAAGCAGACTGTTTAAGATGGGTGTTTGATGCTTGCCTACTGGAGCCAGCCCTGCATACAGAGCTGTGTATCACAAAGGTTTACATGAAGCATTTTACAGATCTTGATCATCGTAACACTGCAAAGTTGACATGGCCATTGTCTCCGTGTTACAGAGCCACAAAAGTTAATAAGTGATGCAAACCCTGTACTGACTCACACCGCTACCTACTAAGGGTAAGGAAGTGTCCAGTCCTCCCCTACTGAGTGCAGTGCCCAGCTAGAGCAACACTGTCAAAAAAAAATGAAACAAGGGAGGACTTGTCCAGGAAGCTCTAAGCACAGGCCAGTGTACCTCTAGGTTGCCCTGGAGAAGATCACTGTGGACAATATGGAGGGATCTGCCTGGTGCTGAAGATACCTCGGTGTGGACTGTGGTTACACAGGAATATGCAGATATAAAATTTCACTTGCAGTTTGTGCTTTTTACAGTGCACAGGTCTACTTCAATAAACATTCAAATGCATAAATCTGTTAAAAACTGAATTGTAATCTGGCACAGAGGCTATAGTTAGAGCAATAGTAGAGACTAAGATGGGCCACTCAAGGCCAGCCTGATCTCAGCTAAATCACCTTTCTTCAAGCTAAAATTTTACAGCAACTAACACAGCTGAACACTAAGGGGTGTGTGGGGGGTGATAAATCTAATTCTTAACATGTTTAAGATTTAGAATGTGGGGCAAAGGGGAAGGAATGTCAAAGGGTAAGAGAGGGACAGAAGAGCAAAGGAGGGAGAAGAAGAACTCCAGGAGAGAAGCCCTGTGGCAGAGGTACCAGAGAAGGCAAGGTAGGGGTAGTAGATAAAAACCTGAGAAAGCACTGGAATCTTCTACATAGGGGGTTACCCCAGTCCGGTGACCCCCACCCACTCCACCCTCATGGAAGAAGAATGCTATACTGGCTGGGTGGTGGTGGCGCATGCCTTGAATCCCAGCACTGGGGAGGAAGAGGCAGGCAGATTTCTGAGTTCGAGGCCAGCCTGGAACCTCTACAGAGGGAGTTGCAGGAAAGGCGCAAAGCTACACAGAGAAACCCTGTCTCAAAAAACAAAAAAAACAAAAAAAAAAAAATGCTATACTCTAAGGGGAGCTGTGGGGGTGGTATATGTTAAGGAAGTAGAGGCAGAGTGAGAGGAAACTGAGTCATAGTCTTGTACAAGCATCCATTTCTGAATCTTCAGAACTGTTGACTTATAAAAAATGCAAACAAAAATTCAAATAGATTCTCTAAAATATATTTTGTGAAGCATTTAGTCATAATAAGCATTAACACTGTCAAGGCTAGGGCTCCGTGGGTAAGAGCTTGCTGTATATGCATGAGAAGCTTGGGGTCCCCAGCATCTACAAGCTGGCCATGGCAGCTCTCATCTCAAACACTAGCACTGGAGGACAATGTGGGGAGTAGATAGGAGAGTCCCTATGTCATGGACAACCAGACAGGATGAATGAGAGCTCCACATTCACCAAAAGACCCTGTCTCAAAAAATAGGATGAATAGCAGTAGAGGAAGACATCCAAAATCAGTCCCCCAGTCTTACACATGCACACAGTGAGCATACCTGCACACACGTCTAGACCCACACATACACAACACACATAAATCAACATTGGCATTGAAGGTGCCTGAAGAGGTCAGAGGTGTAGAGCTCTCTTGGACCTGGAGTTACAGGTGGTTGTAGCCATCCATTGTGGGTACTGAAAATTAAACTCTGCTCTTTTGCCAAAGCAGTACATGCCAGTAACCTCTGAACCATCTCTCCAGCCCTTAATATCCTAAATCCTTTGAAAAATGTAACTTTGGGGCTGGAGAGATGGCTCAGTGGTTAAGAGCACTAGCTGCTCTTCCAGAGGACCCAGGTTCAATTTCAGCACCCACATGGCAGCTCACAACTGCTCCAATTCTAGGGGATCTGGCTGGCACCTTCACAGACATACATGCAGGAAAAACACGAATGTACATAAAATAAAAATAAATCTTAAAAAAAATACAACTTCAAAATCCATCTAAATCATGCATATAACTAATGTTAGCACACTTAAAATTTCAAAGTACAGTGGTATATGTGTATAATCCCATCACATAGGAAGTTGAAGCAGGAGGACTGCCATGAGTTTAAAAAGCACTCCAGGTCAGAAGAGAGCACTGGATTTCCCTGGAACTGGAATTACCAACAACTGAGAGCCACCATGTGGGTGCTGGCAATCAAACCTGAGTCTTCTGGAAGAGCAGTCAGTGCTCTTAACCACTGGGCCATCTCTCCAGCTCCTAAAACCTTTTCTTTTTTTTGAGATTTATTTTATTTTTCACCGTGTGCATGGGTGGGTAGGACTGTGTGTGCACATGAATGTAGGTGGCTGTGGAGGCCAGAGGTATCAGAGTCCTTGGAGACAGAATCACGGGTAGTTTTGAGTCGTGAGCTGCCCAACATGGGTTCGGGAACTGAACTTGGGTCCTCTGCAAGAATAGAAAACACTCCTAACTCCTGAACCATCTCTCCAGGTCCACCTTTTATTAATATAAGTTTGTTTCATACTCATGTGTCCTGAAATTCTTTTCCTGTGGCATAAATTGAGATTCTTGTTTCGAATGAGTGGAGGTCTCAGAAAAGAACTCTTTATGGGGTGAGTAAGCATAAGGAATAGCTTAGCACCCTGGGACTCACTCCACTTGGCTTGGAATATTCACACACTCATAATAATGCCACTGACAGCCTACGTCTCTTACTTACATGCCCTATGTACATGCATATCTCCATTAACCTGGCAACTTTGATGCCCACCTGTGGGCTGGAGAGACCACTCAGCAGTTAAGAGCACTGACTGCTCTTCCGCAGGACCCAGATTCAATTCCCAGCACTCGTATGAAGACTACAAACATTTGGAACTCTGGTTTCAGGGGATCTGACACCATCTTTTGGCCTCCATGGGCACTGAATGCATGTGGTACACATACACATGGGTGAAACACACCAACACAAATAATAAATCTTTAAATTAAAAAGGCTACCACATACATCATTTTGCATGCACACTCTACTCTGAACAATGAAATAAGTTTTTCTTTCTCTTAACAACTATCAGACTTGTGCATATTCTATTTTAGTTATGCTCCTATCGTGTGTGGATATAAAGGTAGGGGAGCTGATCAGATCTGAACTGGTTTTGAGTTCATGCACAATAAGGAAAAGTGTCCTCTAAGTGAACTTTTAGAGAGAATCCTCTACTTACCATCTCATACATATTCATAATTGAGCATGCATGTAATTAAAATCAGATACATTCCAGGAAGAGACATGCTCAGTAGAGAACAGGTTATACAATTTGAAAACTGTCAATCAAAAATAGAAAACCCCCTAAATTATGCCTAGTAACCACACTTCGCCTTCCTTTGAACCCCATAAAAGGAAGACTTCCTTGAACCCCCTAAAAGAAAGCTGCAAACAAGAACGAATGTTCTCACTCACGTGACCTGCTGTCACTCTTGACAGGGTATTTCTCTCTGAGCCGTCCTGTCACTTCATGTTTGAAGGCAGTTTCCTTGCTACTTTGCCATCTGTGTTCGTTTTTATTCCAGCGCTTGAATAAGAGGCTAAGCCCCCGGAAACACCTGGCCCAGACCCTGGCCACAGTGACGGTCAGGCTGCTCTCGCTGACTGCATCCAGCAGGACCCGTCTCTACCACAGCTGTCTGATCCGTACCCTCCCCACACCAGTGTGTGAGCATGTGGCGGTAGAGCCCTGGAGTCAAAGGTGGTGGGCTCTGGGCCATTAAACTATTAGAGTTTCAGGCATAAATTAGAAACTTAAATGTGCTTAGTCAGAAAATAAAAAATAAAAAAAAATCTGTTCCCGCCCCCACTCCACTTAGACATTTCTGAAACTGTGAAAGGGAAGAGTCAGAAGGGACAATTCCTCCTCCGTGCCTACAAAGTAGCTCACATGGTTTCTCCAGAACAGCTCAGGGGAAGAAGAAAACATGAAGTCCAAAGACAGTTTGGGGGTATATGTAGGGAAGAGAGGATTCCCCTCCAACCTCCATTAACTCTTTTTTTTTTAATTTTATTTTATGCACATTGATGTTCTGCTTGATTGTGTGTCTGTGTGAGATCCACTGGAACTGGGTGTTACAGACAGTTGTGAACTGCCATGTGGGTGCAGGGAATTGAACCTGGGGCCCCTGGCAGAGCAGCCAGTGCTCTTAACCTCTGAGCTATCTCTCCAGCCCCATTCTCCATTAACTCTTAAGTAGGCTCTGTGGTTGGAGCTAGGGACCTAATTAATATTTATTCTGATTAACAAGAGAAAACACATAAACATTTTATAAAATTTACATGAACTTTGGGATCTAAGAGACAGTGATATCAGAAGAAATGGTCAAAGCCTGATGCTTTTACACAAAGAAAATTGTCAAGAAATAATGGACACTGGCTATTTGGGCTAGAATCATCAATTCTGGGGATATTTATAAGAAATACATGTGGGGGGGATACAGAGCTATGGGAAGAAGAGAGTGGCTTCAACTAATTCATTTATTCAAATCATTGCATTCTCAACTACTAGACTCTGGTGATCATGGCTATTTTCAGGCCTTAATATGCTAAAAAAAAAAAAAAACAAAAAAAAAAAAACAAAAAAAAAAAACCTCTCCCAAAAGAATTTTATGGTTTGCTGCATACAGGGGAAGACTGATCAAAAAGCTGTTTCTGGTTACATTTCCTCAAGTGATTTAGCTTAACATAATCTCATTCATGGGTCTAAGTGTAAGGATTTGGTCCTTAATTACGTCATCAGCCTGTGACGGTGTCCCAGCCTAAAAAGTGGGTGGGTCAGTGCATCCCTCTCTTTCCGTTCCTTCCTTCTGTCTGTCCTCTCTCTCCCTCTCTCTCCCCCACCTCCCAATAAAGCTCTAAAACGGTAACCATGGCTGTGATTCTTCCAATCAGCACTCTCCTCTGCCGGCATGGCCGCTGCGGGCTGCGGCCAGCCAAAAGCAGCGTGCTGGCTGATTTAACCAACACTAAGAGCAAAGTAAGCTCATCAGACTCACAGAGGTCCTGTATTGGTGAAATTATTAAGGCCATTAAAAGCCCGGCTAGCTCAGTCGGTAGAGCATGGGACTCTTAATCCCAGGGTCGTGGGTTTGAGCCCCACGTTGGGTGCCAGATATTGGTGAAATTATTAAGGCCACGCAGTTAAAAGGGAGATTTATTTAATGGTGTAACTTACAAATGAAGGGATAGGTAGGTGGTGGGTTCTGGGAAAGACGAGCGCAGTCCGGCAGTGTTCTCTGGAGAACTCTCCTCGGTCTACCTCTAGTGTCCAGGGTCCAAAACAGGAAGAGAGGGTGGCGCCTCCTGATCTCAGGTCTTCAGGGCCTTCCCTTGGCCCTGCCTTGTAGGTGTGATAGTTACCAAAGCCTCAGTGGGGGTTGGAACTTCCAGACCAAAGCTGGAATGGCTACCCACTGCAGC